GAGAGAGAGAGAGAGAGAGAGAGAGAGAGAGAGAGAGAGAGAGAGTCACAGTGCGTGTTTGTGTGTGTGTGTGTGTGTGTGTGTGTGTGTGTGTGTGTGAGAGAGAGAGAGAGAGAGAGAGAGAGAGAGAGAGTGATGGAACTCGTTGAACTACTCAGCCCACTGCAGTTTTTTATAACTGCTGCATCAGCCTGCATGGCTTCTCTCAGGGCCTCGGCGCACTAGTTACAAAATCGTTGTCGTCCTTCTGAGTGTAATGTGTATGACGCACATGTGTGCCCCGTCTCAGGAGGGAGTAACAGGAGCGTGGAAGAAGAGACCTGATGGGCCACGTTGCAGTACTCACCTCACCCAGCCCAGTTTTGGTGAGTGCTGCATGGCTCCTCTCAGGGCATACTCACACCAGGACTTGTTCGGCTTCTCTGTGTACGTAATTGTGGTTAGATGCATTCAGGGTTTGTTAGGTGTTATGGCAAAATCCCTCATATACATCCACAAAAGTCTTTACCCTCCACTGCCTCCAGGTCTGGTTGCACTACTCTCCATATGCCAAGTTTGGCAACTAGGCTCCCGGGCCTGATTGCACTTACTCTCCAAACTTGGTGCAAGGAAACCTGTCAGAACTTTTGAGCAGTTTCCTTTTTCATTTCAATCCCCCTCAGAGTGCCACCGCCCCCCAGTTCCAGATGCTCCACCGTCCACAAACCCTCATTGACAGGCGTGGAAACCCATAACGCTCACCACAACTTGTCTCTACATTGACAGGTGTGGAAACCCATAACACTCACCACAACTTGTCTCTACGGTGTGGCGATCCGTCTGACAGAGTTTTCATTCCGCAAGTTTGGCGAGTAAGTGCCACCAGGCGCCTTAGCTTGTCTCGACCGTGTGGCGAGCCGTCTGACACATTTTGCATTCCCCAAGTTTGGCGAGTAAGTGTGAGCAGGCGCCTTCTCACCGAACTTGGCATATGGCGAGCGCCGAGTGGTGCAACTAGACCCAGAGTATGCCCTCAGGGACTCGCTGCAACAGTTACCAACTAAACGTTTTTGGTGAGATGGCCGCATGTTGGACCTTCCACATTATACCTTTCTCAGGGGCCAGGGCATACTAGGGAATAGCCACACCACAGTGACTTTTGAAAACACTATTTTGGATAGTTTCTCTTGGCCACACAGCCTGTCAAAATTGGAGACGGGAAGAAAAATTGGAAGTTGTCCCCATAGACTTCTCTTCCGAATTTGGAGAGTGGGCGTGAGGTCGTAATGGACTATTGCTTATCGTACCCTCCGGCGCATTCGTCTTTTTCCATCTCGCGTTCACAAGTGCGTCCATTCGACAACGTTGTGTGGCTAAGGGTCTCGACACTCACCATTAGTCCATCCATCCCGACCTCACGCGCACTCACCAAATTTCGAGGAGAAGTCGATGATGGTGCAGCGGAGGACTATAGAAAGCATAGGACTAGCAGGCTGCCAGGCTGGGGATTCAACAACTTCCTTCTTCTTCTTCTTCGTTTTTTTTCTTTTTTTTCTTTTTCCATTTTTTAAGCCCAGGTTGTTGTAGAGGCTGGATTACAGACATATGAGAGTCACCTTCGGCACTCGGCCATGTGGTAGAGGCCTCCTAATCCTATAGGACTCCCTCCTGAGCCTACCTCTTTCGTAATTTCCCCCGGCGCACTCCTACTCCCACTATCCTACCTCAGTGTCTACCACTCAGGATCGTCACCCTCCAGCCTTGGGGGTGACCTGACAGAACCGTGGTTGTAGGTACGAGGGCTAAGCTGAGTCCCAATCACCCCACTCAGCCCTGATCGAAGCATGCTCGTGCAAGCCTTGTCGCCCAGGTACTTCAGGTGCTAGGTACAGTCGTTTCACTACAAGTCCCATAGGTGGACCTGTTTTGCGTTCCTATCGTTGTGTACACAGCTGTCGTTACCGTTGTTTCTTGTTAGGTTGTTCGCTTTGCACCGAACATAGGAGGCAGGCAACCCAACCAATCCTGTGAAGAGCCCCACCTGACACAAGAGCCTTACCAGCACCGGCCATAGACTGACAGTACTAAGTCGCACTCTCATCAACTGTTCCTTGTTCCATGGGCGGTCTGTACTAGGGTCCCAGTTCAGACAGACATCGACCATAGATTGTACTAAGTCTCACTCTCATCAACCGTTCATGAGCGGTCTGTAGGGTCCCAGTTCAGACAGACATCGACCGTAGATTGTACTAAGTGTCACTCTCATCAACCGTTCCTGAGCTTCCTAACGGGAGCCCTCATCCTAACCCCTCCCGTGCCTAGTGGCTGACTCCCCCCAATCTCCAGCTAACAATGGGTCCCCCTACTCTAATCTTACCTTAAGAAACCTACCAACACCGACCACAGTCTGTACTAAGTCTCACTCTCATCAACCGTTCCTGAGTCTATGGGCGGTGTGTAGGTCTCTTGGTCCTGCCTCCCACTAGGTAAGCGAGTTTGAACACACGACCTCATCCATGCAATCTTCTATAGAACAGACTGAGCTAAACTGAACGATTTGTACACAATATCAGACTGGAAGGCAAATGAACAATCATCCCCACGAATGCAAGCACACAAACAACCACTAGAGCCAAGAGCATCAGGCAAACATTCCACAGCCCAAACCCAACATACAACAACCATGGACTGAACACTGGGTGGTGCGCAAGCAGTGTCTGTAATAGCTTAGCTGCGTCAGCCCAGGGGAGTGCTGTGTTACCGCGGTATGTTACCCCCTGGCCGCAGCCGACTTCGGTCGTGGCCGCGGCCGTCGGCCGTGGCCGGCCCCCCCCCGGCCGCGGCCGAACGCGGCCGATAATTTCGGCCGAGGCCGCGACCGATCGGGGAGGGGATTTGGGGGGCGGGGAACGGGGAACGGGTTTCGAGTCGGGGGGGGTCCCCCTACCTCCTCGCAAAAAAGAAAACCTAAAAACTTCGAAAACGGGGGAGTGGATTTCGAAGACTACCAAAAAAAATTAAATAAATAGAAAAAAAAAAAAAATTCATTGATTGACTGT